GCTCTTCCTAAAAGATCTACAATGCAGGCATAATGCTCCTTCCTAGGAGATAACTTGTAAACTTCATCCATTGAATTGAACAGCCTCCATCCCTCATCTACCATACCCGAGTGACTGCAAGCTGATAAAAGACATGTAAATGTGATGTGTTGAGGGGGAAAAGAAGCCTGCTGCATAGAATCAAAAAGTTCAAAAGCCTCCATGGCATGTCCATGCTTTCCATACCCGCAAATCATTGAGTTCCATCCAGCAATGCTTTTTGCATCACCCATTCGATCAAATGCAGCACGTGCAGACTCCAAATCACCGCATTTTGCATACATGTCGATGATAATGCCTTGCAGGACTTTGTCCGAGCCATAACCCCTCACCACAGCATGAGCATGGAACTGCCTGGAGAGACTCATTAGCCCCAAAAGAGCACAGCTGTTCAACAGTCCCACCATGGAAGAATGGTTTGGAACTAAACCAACTAAACACATTTCAATGAAAATACTTATTAGGCTCTGAATATGTCTGCTTCGACCATATCCCAATATCAAGCTGTTATAGCAGACAACATCCTTGTGTTCAATCCTATCAAATACCAACCGGGCACCAACCAAATCTCCATTTTTAGCATACATGTCTATAAGTGAACTGCCTGTAAACGCATCATAATCCCAACCATTCTTTGCAATGTAAGCTTGCAGCTGTTTCCCTTCCAGGAAGGAAGCACAGCCCATAATAACAGTGATGGTATGACGATTAGGCATGATACCATCCAATAACATCTCAAGGAATAAACACATTACTTCATCCTTGAGTCCTTTTCCATTAGCATAGCCCATGAGGATGATGGTCCAAGAAACAACATCTTTCATGGGCATACGATCAAACACCTTACGTGCAAGAGACATCAGTTCACATTTTACGTATAAACAAACCAAGGCGCTCTCAGTACGGCAAGTGGCTCCCTTTTCCCCGCCGTTGCGGACCAGAAAGCCGTGCACCTCTCGCCCACAGTTAACAGCTTGCAGAGTAGTGCAGCATCGAAGAGCTGCGGCAAGGGGAACCGCAGCGGGTTTTAGTAGGCTGCCGCCGGCTAAGTCGCGGAAGAGATCCAGGGCCTGAAGGGCCTCTCCTTGACGAGAAAGGCTGCGGATAAGAGCGGCCTTGCCGAAATCATCTATGTGGCGACTTTCGTCGAACAGCTGGTGGGCAAAAGAGATGGAACAGGGGATCGGCTTGCATCGTCCGATGCTTTTCTGGTTCAGCTTGCCGTAGGTGTGGCTTGGATTTGTGCGGGCAAGCGCCGTCATTGAGATGCTTAAGAGGAGCAACTTGGCCATTGCATAACATTGTTTTGTTTAATAATGTATTCATGTTAAATGTTTTTAGTTCATATAACTTTCATATATGACTTTTTCTGATGGTTGATGGAGACTCGCACTATAAATTTTTATAGATGCCTCCGGAGACTCGTAGAATAGTGTGACTTCTTCCGATAGATTGACGATCAGGTTGATTCCACTGCTGAAAGTGATCACGAGTTGATAGCATCATTGGAGTACAGTTTAGGATGAGACATACATCGCCCTCATGTTAAAAATATTATTATTTTACATGTAATTCTTTTAGCTTTTTTCTTTTTCTTAATACTTTTGATACTAAATGTTTTGAGTTCATAGAGCTTTCATATACGACTTTTTCTGACGGTTGATGGAGACTCGCACTATAAATTTTTATAGATGCCCCCGGAGATTCATAGAATAGTGTGACTTCTTTTGATGGATTGACGATTAGGTTGATTCCACTGCTGAAAGTGATCACGAGTTGATAGCATCACTGGAGGACAGTTTAGAACGAGACATACATCACCCTCATGTTAAAAATAATATCATTATTATTTTGTATGTAATTCTTTTAGTTTTTTTCTTTTTCCTAATACTTTTGGTACACACTCTTAATATTTTGAAATGAATTTCTGCTTCTGAAGCAATAAATATGTCGTTGTTACAGTTCTGTTTTAAAGAGTTTCACTAAAAATAGACAGAATGATCATTTTTCTAGAAACAACTACCCCACAGATATTTTCACGCAGCTGCAACAAACAGACAATTAGCTTCCCGCAACAACTTCAGCTATGTGAAAAATTTAGAAGCTTTAGTTGCCCTAAACAGACTCTTATTCTCAAAAAAATTTTATGTCCAGACTCCGGACGTAGAGCAATGTTCGAAATCTAATAAGACGTTGCCACCTGTATGTGCGAGTTCCACACAGGAAAACCATAAATAATTTAAAGACCTTTTTTCGGCCCGACCCGACGCTTTGACTATCCCGACATTAAGAAAACATTTGAGGCTTCCTCAAGTTCGGTGTCAGAAGCTTCCATCCTCATTCTTTGCTCATTTAGGGTTTCGTCGTTGCTCTATGAGGGTTCATTTTACTTTTGTGGAAAATTTTGAAGGAGTGACAAAATGTAGTTGGATGATCCCCAAAATATGCAGTTGCAAGAGCTGGGAAGGTCGGAGTTGGAGGAGGGTAGGTAAACGGAGCATGAGCAGCTGAAGAAGAGGTTGAAGAAAGATGCTAAGAAGAAGGAGTCGAAAAGGCCCGAATAAGGAGGGCGTCGAAGCGGAAACCCTAACCTAGAAAATTTTATTTTTTATTTTCTGCTTATTTTATGAGATTAAATATGTTTAGTTATTAGAGTTATTGTGGAGATAACTTGAGATTTTTTAGGGTTTTCTGGGGTTAGTAGAAGTTATTTTCCGGTTGGAGTATGAGGTTATTATTGGGTTATTTTGGAGTTCATCTTGACTGCATTTCAGGTTGTTTTTGTGAGCTTATTTGAGTTTTTTTAGGGTTATTATTGGGTTATTCTAGAGTTAATCTCTCTCCTATTTTAGATTTTTGATTTATGGGGGGTTATTTGGGTTATTCAAGGGTTTTATGCTTGAGTAATTTTTGATTTTTTCCGAGTTATTCTTTGGTTATTCAGAACTTAGTTTCGGGTTTTTCTTGGCAAATATTAACGGTTCATTGTTGGGTTATTTTTGGGTTATTCCGCAGGCATTGAGGAGTTCAGCTCACTTTAGTTTCTAAGGTTGTTATTAGGTTTATTATTGGGCTATTTTGGCGTTATTTTAGAGTTCATCTCGACTGTGTTTCAGGTTGTTTTTGCGAGTTTATCTGGGTTATTTTAATGTTCTTGTTGGGTTATTCTAGAGTTAATCTCCCTTATGTTTTAGATTTTTGAGTTATTGGAGGGTTATTTTTGGTTTATTCAAGGGTTATATATGAGTTTATACTTTAATAATTCTTGGTTTATTTCTTGATTTATTCTCGAGTTATTCTTTGGTTATTCTGAAGTTAGTTTTGGGTTCTTCTTGACAGATATTAGTTTTTCATTGTTAGGTTATTTTCGTGTTATTTTTAAGGTTATTCGTAGGTATTTAGGAGTTTAACTCACTTTAGTTTCTGGGGTTATTATTAGGTTATTATTGGGTTATTCCGACTTTATTTTAGAGTTCATCTTGACTGTATTTTGGATTATCTTTAAGAGTTTATCTGAGTTATTGTGGGATTATTTTAGGGTTATTTTTGAGTTATTCTAGAGTTAATCTCCCATATGTTTCAGATTTTTGTATTCTTGAGGGGTTATTTTTTATGTATTCAAGGGTTATACATGATTTTACGCCTGGGTAATTTTTTTATTCTTGATTTATTCTCGAGTTATTCATTGGTTGTTCTGAAGTTAGTTTTGGGTTCTTCTTTGCAGATATTAGCAATTCATTGATAGCTTATTTTTGGTTTATTTTTGGGTTATTCCCTAGTTATTCATGAGATTAACTCACTTTAGTTTCTGGGTTATTATTAAGTTATTATTTGGTTATTCTGATGTTATTTTGGAGTTCATCTCGACTGTGTTTCAGGTTGTTTTTGGGAGTTTATCTAGGTTATTGTGGGGGTTTATCTGGGTTATTATTGGGTTATTTTAGAGTTAATCTACCTTTTGTTTTAGATTTTTGAGTTAATGGAGGGTTATTTTTGGTTTATTTAAGGGTTATATATGAGTTTATGCTTGGGTAATTCTTGGTTTATTCATGATTTATTCTCGAGTTATTATTTCGTTATTTTGAAGTTAGTTTTGGTGGTTCTTGACAGATTTTAGAGGTTTATTATTGAGTTATTTTTTAGTTATTTTTGGGTTATTCCAGAGATATTCAAGAGTTCAGCCCACTTTAGTTTCTGTGGTTATTATTAGGTTATTTTTGGGTTATTCAAGGGTTATATTGGAGTTAATGCTTATGTTATTCTCTATTTATTCTCGAGTTATTCATGAGTTATTCTCGGGTCTTCATTTGCAAGTATTATTCCTGGGTCTTCTTGGGTCTTCATTGTTGGGTTATTCTTTTAGTATTATGTTAGTGCTAATAAATTGTTTTTTATTCATGTAGGTTAGTGAATAAGAAGGTCATGAATTGTAGATCTCGTACATCGACAATTAGAGAAGTTCTGAACAAGATTAGACCAACTGTATCTAAGAAGGCCTAGTGAAAACTGAAAGATTTGAATGTTAATCAATTTTTTGGCCTCAAGATCATATCCTAACTATGGACTTATTGAATTGCTGAGATATTGATCAATTGATATTTAGACTGGGTGGAAATGAGGAAAATTTAGATGAGGATCAAGTTACCTTACTGATTGGAATGCCCAACAGAGGACCAGTAGCAACTTGGAAAAAAACAACCCGTCTGTGGCTTGTATGCTAGACACACAAAGAGTGAACTACTGAAGGTGACACTTGGAGAGCCCTCCACTCCACTCGAAGAACTATATATATTAGATTTTTGTTGTCAAATTTATTTTTTTGGTTTAGCAATTTTATTGTGCCACAAGTGTTGTATTTAATTACAAAAAATTTAGATTTATTTACTTCATTTAATTAGCTTGCAACGATATGTGACAACCTTATTGAGCAAGTTAATGCCTGCACAATTAAAATAAGGAGGGGTACACCATTGATATACCTGAATGGATTTGTTTTCCTTCTGACGATTAGTGTATTATCATTCTCTCTCAAAAGTTTTTATGTTATTTGGTTCAGAAGAAATGTTGATTGGTGAATTGTTTGCGCAACTATGATTTTATGAGTGCACAATCGTGGTGGTCCCTGCTGCTCCTGAGTGCATACCTCACATGTTGAGGTGGTTAATATATGTGGGCTGGAACCTTGCAAAGTTTCATTTAGCTTTTCAAAGGCTCACCACTATACAGGTGAGTAATTTATTTTTTGTTGTAAGCTTAGAGTTATTTTTGGTGCTATTTTGGATAATTGTTTAGTTAATTGTTTAGCTGAATCTTTTTGTAGGTTTTGGATTCTTTTGTTGACTTAAGAGATGACGAGGTCAGTTTACTTGTCCCTAGTATTGATTTAGTATTTGCTACCGTCAAGACCATCGCACAACCTGAAACTCACTCCCCATCACTGTCACTAGATTCTTATGGTTCTAATCCTCTGGTCCTCAGTTGAAGCATTCCTTAACCTATAAATGCAATATTTTCCTCATTTTTAACTCTCGCAACAACGTGGGTACCATCTAATGCTCCAACGCAATTCTACAAAAAAACTTTGACTTATTAATGCCTGCTATTCATATTTAAAATTGAATACTAGAAATTGTTAATGTTACCTTAAAGAACGACATGTAACGTGCATCACGTTGAATCTCCATAGGAGTTCGTGCGAGCGTTGGATCGGTTGGTTTTGACTTGAGTAGATAGATTCACAAGTGCATTCAGACCTATAGAGAAGTATCTGTCGATCATCTCATATGAGTGTTGGAATCATTCCATCACACTACACATTGACTCGTTTTGGGATAATATGTAGAGAGTCATCGCTGACACCTCACGTTGAGTTGTCCTCGATGACCCATGAAGACCATGAGATCTACCAAGTTATGTTAGAAGATCTATAAATACCTCTTGCCTCATGCAAAACATGTTACTGAATCTGGTTGGATGTTCAACAAGCAATTCCCCAACCCATTTGTCACCGATATAAGACGATGTGAAGCACGAAGAGTGGTTAATTTTATGTTGGGAGAGGTTTTAGACCTTTATGAAGTTTTTAGGAAGATTAAGTTTGAGTTTTGAGGAGTTTTATGACGAGGTCGTTATTTGTCCCATCGAGTTTTATTTGTCGGTTAATGTTCTCCTTGACATGGGGCTTTTGAAAACCATTCAAATTTGAAGATTTGTGTTGTTTGAATAATCAAGCGTGTCATTGAAAGTAGTAAACCACATCGAAAGGTAGAAATAAAGCTTTATAATGGGTTTGTTTATTTGATTAGAGAAAAATGTTGGATATGAACACTAGTCTGCGATTAAATTAGGTAGGTCACTTCCTCTATCTAATATAGATACTAAATAGGGTTTTTATTAGTTTTTGGGTCTTTTCATTTCTTTAAGGGCAAACTCTTATAGTTAATACATCTAAAACAACTGAAGCTATTTAAAGAAAGTTTCGATTAAGGCCATGACTTTATCCTTAAAAAAGATTTTTATGTTTATTAGAAAGTTAAGATTCCACGACATACAATAATGTTGGAGCCTAAAGGTGAGGATTTACATCATAACTGGATGAACAACCTTGGAGTCCTAGGGTAAACTTCCCGCCTGTGAGCTTCGATCCTATGCAATGCTCATATTAAAATTTGTAGCATGATCCACAGTAATCACATATAAAAGGATGTTAGACTATGGTTGGTTGTCTCACATCACCTAGTTAAGTGTTTGTAAAAGGAGCAAAGTAGAAATATATAAAAAAAAATCTCTTTTAGAATGGAGATGAAAAAAGGAGAGTCTCGTATAATTTCTTCTACTCAAGAAGCAGGCAGAGAAATAAATATCCCCTTACCAATGAATGACCTCCTCCCTCCACCCTCAAATGAATATAAACGTAGCTACACTAAAAGAAAAAATATATCAGAATAAGATTATTATGTAGCTATATGTGCAATATTATATACAATATAACATTATTGGATTATAAGACGAGTTAATGAAGTCCAACAGAATGGATAAATTGCCTAACTAGTTAAGCCAATCATTTGCATAATGTACAATCTAATCAAGTTATTTTTGTTGAGTGCTTTTGTCGAGCTGGTCGAATTCTACCACCGCCGTGTGTTTCCTTTAATATATTCATATTGTTATGATCAGATCATTTGCTTGATGTCGTCATATGCTTTGAACTTAGCCTATAAAATTATAATTAAATATCATATTGCATTAAAGTTAAATACAATTATTTTTATTTCACTATTTAAATGAATTATTTTTAGTATTTATTTATATTATTTACAAAAAAAATTACTTATAACTTATTATTATTATCTTGTTTGATTGGTGTAAATAAAGTAGATACTAATTTAAAATTTACTCAACTATTTGTTGATTTATATTTATAAAATAATTTGTTAATAATTTTATATAAAAATTCAAGCCCTCATCCAAATTTTAGCTTATTTTTTAACTTATAGAAGTACACTACCAATTAATATAAGCAAATCATATACCAGTTAACTATAATTCGAAAATATATGTGAAAGCCTGGCTCGACCAAATATAGATAATTTATAATATAGCCAAGCCAAATCAAATCAAATACATACCATGCTCGGCTAGGATATAACCCGAATTACACACAAATTAGGCGACCAAAACTCGAGTAGGCGAAGTAGCTAGCCGAGCCAATGACGAACCGGTTAGCCGGGTAGGTGAGGAGGGTTCGTATAAAAAAGCTCAAAAAAACTCAATTATTTTCAATTTTGCCACCCACCTCCTCCCTCCCAACAACCACGTGATGTAATCAAACACCAACCCCCAAAAGCCCTATTCGCCAACGCCTCTCCCCTTTTTCTGATTTATATAGCTCTGGATTCACATACGATTCTTCTTCGCAGAGCGAAATCCTCTCCAATCCTTCTCCCTCTCTCGATCCCAAATTTGGAAGAAGAAATCCAGAGAGTAACGTGAAGGAGAAGCGAGAAAATGGCTCTCGCAGGTGGTTCGGCCGCCCTTTCAACCAACCCCCTCTTGAAAACCTGCCGCCTCTCCTCAGCCTCCGCGTCCTCTGGTTCCGGTAATGTAAAACAACCAGCTATCCTACAATCCAAGGCATTTTCAACCAACCGATCAATCTCCGCTGTGCACGCAGCGGAGCCAGCCAAGAAAGCTGTCTTAACCGACAAGCCTGCGCTGGCGACGGGGCCTGGGAAGTGGAGGCCGGACAGCTGGACATCTAAGAAGGCGTTACAGCTTCCGGAGTATCCTAAAAAGGAAGAGCTAGACTCCGTACTCCACACTATCGAGAGCTTCCCACCCATCGTATTCGCAGGCGAGGCCCGACACCTGGAGGAACGCCTTGGCGATGCTGCTCTTGGTAAGGCCTTTCTCCTTCAGGGAGGCGATTGTGCTGAGAGCTTTAAGGAGTTTAATGCCAATAACATCAGGGATACCTTCCGCATCCTCCTTCAGATGGGCGTCGTCCTCATGTTCGGCGGCCAGGTGCCGGTCATCAAGGTAAAACTATTTCGCTTAGCAAAACCAAATATCTGGAGATGGATGCATCTTCTGCTTATTTCTACTTTCCGATCTGTTGGGAACTGGATCTAACTGCTGGATCTGTGGATCAGGTAGGGAGAATGGCGGGGCAGTTTGCAAAGCCGAGGTCAGATCCGTTCGAGGAGAAGAACGGGGTGAAACTGCCAAGCTACAGGGGGGATAACGTGAACGGCGACACGTTTGATGAGAAATCCAGGGTTCCGGATCCCCAGAGGATGATCAGGGCCTACTGCCAATCAGCGGCCACTCTCAATCTTCTCCGTGCGTTCGCCACTGGCGGTTACGCGGCGATGCAACGCGTCACTCAATGGAATCTTGACTTCACCGAGCACAGTGAACAAGGAGACAGGTACAATTCAAACCCTCGTTATCAGCGTTCCCCTCGATCTTACTCTGTTATTATTCCAGTGATCCCCCCATTTCTCGCATGTTAGCAGATCGTTTTCTCTTATAATAGTACTGGAAGTAAATTTGCTTTTCCCCATTTGTGGTAAAATTGGGGCATGTCTCGTGTCGTTGGGGTGTTTGATGATTTGTCTGAACTAGGTACTTGGAACTCGCCCACCGCGTCGACGAGGCGCTTGGATTCATGGCAGCCGCCGGGCTGACCGTAGACCACCCAATCATGCAAACGACTGAGTTCTGGACTTCGCACGAGTGCCTTCTTCTTCCCTACGAGCAGGCACTTACCCGCGAGGATTCAACCTCGGGACTCTACTACGACTGCTCCGCCCACATGCTGTGGGTCGGCGAGCGAACCCGGCAGCTTGATGGCGCACACGTCGAGTTTCTCCGTGGAGTTGCTAACCCCCTTGGCATCAAGGTCAGCGATAAGATGAACCCTAGCGATCTCGTCAAGCTCATTGAGATCTTGAACCCGCGAAACAAGCCCGGTAGGATCACCATAATTACGAGGATGGGTGCAGAGAACATGAGAGTGAAGCTGCCACACCTCATCAGGGCCATACGCTCCGCCGGTCAGATTGTGACTTGGGTTAGCGATCCCATGCACGGCAACACCATCAAGGCCCCCTGCGGCCTCAAGACTCGCCCATTTGATGCCATTCGGGTAAGACCATTGAACCCTTGATTCTTCTGCAAAATAAATCGCAGAATGAGAAAATCCTGCTGATGGAAAAAAATTGGATCCTGGTGATTTTTTATCACAGTTAGTTTAAATTTATTGAATTTTTTTTAGATGGATATAATATGCAATTTAGTTTTATATTATATTTATTTTAAAAATTAATATAATAATTTTGAGATTCATCATAACTAAAAATCTCATCTTAATATTCTGATCTAATTTTTCTCATTGCTGCTGTTTGATTCTTATTTTAAGTGCAATTTGGAAATCTCAGGTTTAAGGTTACTATGTCATGCCACCATTAGAATATCCCTCTTTTGAATCTTACTTAATCGTGGTAGATCCTACGAAGACCCATTGGACTTACAAACCACATAAATCACTCTTTCAAATTGTCATCTCTGATATCACTTGTTAGAGAGTGAATTAAAGGAAAATTAAGATTAATAAGCATCATGCATGATCTGTTTATGTTCATTTGACAAGGCTAAACATTTGGTGTTTCTAAATCATTTTTTTTAATTATGTAATATTGAACTAAATCTAAAAATGCTACATGTTTTTACCAATTATCATCATCAACTCTGCCCAGTTATTGATTTGTGATATGTATACCTTTATCTGTTCCTTTCTGCACTTTTTGATTAGGTATTCTTTAATCTTTCATACATTTCCAAATTATTGCAATTTATAAGGATTATGTATCGTCTTCTAATTGGCAGATGTTGTTTGTTTAGTATTATCAGTTCTGTAATGTTATCCTATTAATGGGTTTGGTTGGTCCTCTCAGGCGGAGGTACGGGCTTTCTTCGACGTCCACGAACAAGAAGGAAGCCACCCAGGAGGTGTACACTTGGAGATGACTGGGCAGAATGTGACGGAGTGCATCGGCGGCTCCAGAACGGTAACTTTCGATGACCTGAGCTCGAGGTACCACACTCACTGTGACCCAAGGCTCAATGCCTCCCAGTCCCTCGAGCTCGCCTTCATTATCGCTGAACGCCTCAGGAAGCGCAGGATTGGGACAAACCAGGTCGCCTCTTCTGATGCTTCCTCCGCCTTTGTCAATCTATGAGTAATGGCCATCCATGTTAGGTGGTGGTGGGTCTGTTTGGAGACCCAATTTAATTTCAAGTCCTGCTTATTAGGTAATGGACATATTTCTTTTCACCTTTTATATTTAATTATTAATAATTATACATAATAAGGCAGGTAGGTTTAAGTTGTTGTTTCCTGGGAATCTAAGGCTGTAAATTCTCCTTGTGGAGGAATGAAATTGAAATGTTTTGGGGTTGATAAAGCATGTAGTGACTATTAATCTTCCAGTAGGAGTTTTAAAGCTGCAGAAATAATGGGGGAAAAAAAATGAACATGTTGAACGCTTTGTTATTTGATTTTCAGTCTAAACTTGATTGAATAATGTTGTACAATCTTGGAAGACTTGCCACTTGGTCAATCTGGGAGTGTCTGTGAGTGAATCACACCCAAAGTGTTAAATCTCATTTTTTGGTGAGGTCTTATTTATCTATCCTCCATTACTTTAGATCTTATGATTGAGCTTCATAGAAAACTAGTGAATGATTGAGACTCAAATCAGAACTTAAACTAAATATTTATTCTTTTTGGCTTCATGTACTTGAATTTAATCATTCACAGATTTATGTTGAGTTGATTAAAGTTAAGTTTTTGAAGCTGAAGATGAATTCCTCATAGGCCTAGATGTCTTTAGGTAAACATTTGAGCTTAGGGACATAACTTAGGTACCTTTGGGGATCAGTAATCCTTTTGGAGTCCTCTTTTAGCTCATTCTTTGATTTGAAAGTGAGCAAATTTGATTTGATGTTCATTTTAGATTAGGATTGGCCTAATAACAAACGATGATGATAAAATATAAAATCAACAACAACAACAAACAACAACAAAGCCTTAATCCCACTATGTGGGGTCGGCTACATGAATCCTTTTTCTCCATTGCGTCCTATTTAGTATCATATTTTCATTTAGTTCTAGTAAATTAA